GGCGGGCGGCCCGATTGTAATTATCATCGCTCGAGTTGCACCACCTTCGTGAAACGATCTACGTATAGAATAAATAGACAGATATTTCGAAAAGCGGTCGATGCGTTGATCTTGGACTTGTCCCGTGTAACATCTAACCTCACTCGTTCTACTCCGTTCGATTACTACCCCCTAACCTAATCTCACCTACACGAACCTATAAGACGGCCTCGATGTGTTCGTAGGTTTAGACCGGTTCTTTCTCTCTTGTAAATCTCTAAATTGTGGCCCTGAAAAGGGCCATTTATTTGTGTTCGAGAGGCGTCTCCTCGCCGCGAAATTATTTCTTCTTGGGCGAGCCGGTCGCCGGTTTTTTCGTCTGCTTCGCCTTCTTCGGTTTGGGGGCCTTCGGCTTTTTCGTGGGCACCTTCGTCGTCTTCTTGGCCTTCGAGGGAGACTTCGGCTTCGACGGAGAGGAGGCGGCCGCCGCCTGCGTCTCCGGAGCGGAAGACGCCGACGCGCCGGTCCTCTTCTTCGCGGCCGCCGCCTTTGCCACCTTCCTCTGGGGAGATGCGGTCGCCGGCGCCTTCTTTTTCTTCGGGGACGATTTCGGTTTCTTCACCGACGCCGCGGGCGAGGCCTTCTTCGCGGGGGAGACCGCGGCCTTCTGGCGTTTCGTCGCGGCCACCGCCGCCGCGACCCTCTTTTTCCTTCCCTTCGCCGCCGAACCGCCGGAAGACGGAGAGGCCGCGTCGGCCGCCAGCTTGAAGGATCCCGACGCGCCTTTGCCCTTCGTTTGGATTAGGGCGCCGGAGGCGACCGCCCCCTTGATGTACTTCTTAATGAACGGCGCCATCTTTTCGGCGTCGATCTTGTACGTCGTCACGAGGTACTTCTTGATCGCCTGAAGCGAGGATCCGCCGCGCTCCTTGAGACTCTTGATCGCCCCGTTGACCATGTCGGCCGTCGGAGGATGGGACGGCTTCGAGCGGGCGCCCCCCTTCGTTCCCTTCTTCTGCTGCTGCGAGGAGCTCGCGACCGCCTTCTTGGCGGCGGCGGGAGGAGAGGCTCCCCCGCCACCGGTAGACGCTTCCGACGCCTGATTCGCGACCGCCGTGTCTGCCATGATTACGCTCGTCGGGGAAGATGAGATCGTATATATATTATAATGTTATGACGTATGATAAAAAAAACGTCGCCGAGGATACCGCGCTGAGTTAGAACGTGCGTTTGTATGAGAGTCGCGTTCGAATCTCGGTAACCCCCTCGAAGCGCTCGGACCGCTTACGGAATCCCCGCGAACAGCGGCGCGCGAGCCGTCTTCTCCTTCAACGGTTCCCTTGCTCGAGATGCTTCCGTTTCGACGACCGCGACGCCGAACAGCCCGCCGTTTCGGCGTCCGCCCGTCGCGTCTCGCCCGCCGAAGGACCGGTCTCTCGACTACTCGATTCGCGACGCGCTGTCGGGCGGCCCGCGCCTCCGGCGCGCACCCTAACCGACGGAGGCGGCGAGTCGAAAAAGCGCCGACCTACCTTCGCCGAGTCGTCGAGACGCCGGCGAGAACCGGGCGTTCCGGAAGTACGCTTCCCTTCGACGCCCAGATCTATCTAGACGAAACGACGACGGTCCCGTCGGTCCCCCGTCGCAATAGCACCGCTCCGCGACGTTCGCACGGGACGATGGCGCGACGATGGGCCTCCCGTAACGACTTCGCATAAAGGTAGTCTTCCCGATATTCCACGTCGAAGAAACGAAAATGGTACGGTCTCGCTTTGCCGGACGGGCCGCGGCCTTCGTAAGCGGCCGAGGAAGAAAAATTGCGATCTCTCTTCCTACGATTAACCGACGTGTACCCGAAACGTTGCCGAAATGAAAGTCTCTCCCGATGCTTCGTTTTGCCTTCTCTTATTTACGACGATCGAGCGGGGGAACTTTTTGCCCGCCAAATCGGCCGCTAACGCAAACCTATCCGCGGCAATTTCGCCGTCGACCTTTGACGACAAAATAGGATAGCGATACTAAGGTTCGGCCGTCGTAACGGCGACATGCCGAACCGTCACCTTTGCGTACCACCTCGAGATTGATAAAGACCCTTATTGCGAATCGGAAAGTGCGGATGGCCAATTTTATTCCCGATTAGCGTCACTCGCAATCGGAGACGCGAACGTTTGGCGCCCGCCTGGCCGTAGGTTCACGTCATCGTGCGCAATTCTGCAAGCCTTTCTTTTTTGTCAGATAAGAAAATGGTGCCGTAAACGTCTCGCGAAAGCGATTGCTCAACTTTCCGGTCCGATTTCCTAATGGAGATGATTAAATTACGTAAATAACCCAATCCCAATTCGAAAAAGGACATTATCGGCGCCCAGCGTCGTTCGTTTCGCGGAACACGGAAAGGCGCGTAGCGTGAATCAAGCGTATTGAAAGAATCGCCATCGGAGAGAGCGAGAGGTAGGCGTAAGCGGAAGCGCGATGCCGATTCTGCACCTTTTGAATCACTATCTCCGGAAATGAACTTGATACTCTCTCTCTCTCTCACTCTCTCTAAGACGCAAACAAACGTAATGGAGCCAAACGGGAAAGTCGATCATGCATTTTCTTTACGTTCCGTTCGATCCGGCAACGCCGAACTTGCAAATTTTTCCTTGGCGCGGCGTGTGTATTATTTCGAATATTTTCCTCATACTATGTCATAAATCCCATATGAAGCGTACGATTATCCCTCAATTACAGCGGTAATTGCATCGTAGAAAGCGAAAGAGCCCTGCGATACTTGCACATTTCATATTAGTGGCAACTCCATATTGGACAAGTAGACAAGTGGGTAATGTTTATTTGCCGCCCAAATTACACTCGCGCGTCAAAATAAACCCGATAATTTTGCAATCAAGCGTATTGTCAGTAAAAAACTGCATTCGGTCAATTTTCATATTTTGTTAATTTCGCCAAAATAGAAAATAAACTCTTCCAGCTTTTAGACATGCTTTCAAAAAAAATTATCGGTAACTTTGACGCACTTGTGCAATTACCTACGAAAACGACGAAAGGACTGGCATAACGGTACCGCGCCATCGATTAGGAAGTTCCCTATCATTGACGATGAAATGCATTATTAGGGACGCGCGCAATCCGCAGGGCTCGTATGATTATTCGAAAAAAAAGGCGACGGAATACAGTTTACGCATTGTCGCAAAAGTGCATATCTAATGAGTGGACGGTAACTTATAATCGCTTCAGAAAATTTGTACCTCTTCGATTACCGGTTATAAATGTAGTCTATTACTTTGGCATTTTAATCACAAATACCTCTATCTTTAAGCTTACGGCCTACACGTGGCGTAATCTACGGTTAACGGAACGTACCCCCAAAATATTCCATCTATTGGTCGGCATTTTTTTAAAATCGCACGTAAATTCTTTACTTTCTCTCGTGAAAATGAACTCGTGGTTCTGAAAAGAACCGTTTTTATTTTTGTTCCAGCAAACGACAAGACAGACGAACGGGACCTCTTACTTGGAGCTCGTGTACTTGGTCACCGCCTTGGTTCCTTCGCTGACGGCGTGCTTGGCGAGCTCTCCGGGCAACAGGAGCCTGACGGCGGTCTGAATTTCCCGACTCGTTATCGTCGAACGCTTGTTGTAATGCGCGAGACGGGACGCCTCCGCCGCGATGCGCTCGAAAATATCGTTGACGAAGCTGTTCATGATGCTCATCGCCTTACTGCTGATGCCGGTATCGGGATGCACCTGCTTGAGAACCTTGTAGATGTAGATGGCGTAGCTCTCCTTCCTCCTTCGCTTTTTCTTCTTATCGGACTTCGAAATGTTCTTCTGGGCCTTTCCCGCCTTCTTGGCGGCCTTTCCGCTAGTTTTCGGTGGCATATTTTGCAAATTGCGCGAAGAAAAAGTGTTAAAATTTCAACCGTACCGCACGGACGCCAGGTGAAAACTGAGCGATCCCCGGATATTACTCACCTACTTACCGACTTCGCGCGGTACTCGAAAGCACGCCCCAATCACCCCATTGGACGACAAAGTCGCCTACATAAGCGCTCGTGGCGCATTTCGCTCCGTCAGTTTCCATTGACGATCGCAAGTGAGCGTTACTCAGCACGTTGACAAATTTACTCGTCTAATCCATTTCGTTTTTACTCGATATAACATTTCACAATGTCCGGTCGCGGCAAGGGCGGTAAAGTCAAGGGAAAGGCGAAGTCTAGGTCGAGCAGGGCGGGACTTCAATTTCCCGTCGGAAGGATTCACAGGCTGCTGAGGAAGGGAAATTACGCGGAGCGAGTCGGCGCCGGCGCTCCCGTCTACCTCGCCGCCGTCATGGAGTACCTGGCCGCCGAAGTGCTCGAATTGGCCGGCAACGCCGCTAGAGACAACAAAAAGACGCGTATCATACCGCGCCACCTGCAACTCGCCATTAGAAACGACGAGGAATTGAACAAGCTCCTGTCGGGCGTCACCATCGCCCAGGGTGGCGTTCTCCCTAACATTCAGGCGGTACTCTTGCCAAAGAAGACCGAAAAAAAGGCGTAAGAAGTTCGACGACGTCTCACCGATCGTAAAAATCAATCGGCCCTTCTCAGGGCCACCACTTTAAATTCAAAATAGAAAAAAGAGAAATGCGACAAAAACTTAACTTTTATTTTTATTCAAATTACCACAGTTTGTGTAGCATGTGTCTATAATTTGTTAATTGGCTCTTTAACGGCCGGCGTGTGTAGGAGGGAGAGAGAGAGAGAGAGAGAGAAAGTGAGTTTGTACGTAACTCGCATTTCGCCGATTAACCGTTCTGTTTTTCGCGTTACGTTATCGTTTATTGATAAACCGAAATCGAGTAACGAAATGGGGAGGGTTTGTCGCCGACGGTCCACCTTATTTTAAACATATCGCGATTGTCGAGTTTCTCGTCCGTTTATGGCGACTTTGTACGGGAAGTTCCAAGGTTGCGAGATATTACGCAACGACACGATTCGGTTATGCCTCTTTCTCAAATTTTCTCATGTAAAATCTTCTGGTGGTTCTGAAAAGAACCGTTTTTTTTTTTTTGTCGAATGTCTCGCTACGTCCGCTCTGGATGGTCGTCGAATTTAACCGCCGAAACCGTATAGCGTGCGACCCTGTCTCTTCAACGCGTACACGACGTCCATGGCGGGGACGGTCTTCCGCTTGGCGTGTTCCGTGTAGGTGACCGCGTCGCGGATGACGTTCTCCAGGAAGACCTTAAGAACCCCTCGCGTCTCTTCGTAGATCAGACCGGAGATGCGCTTGACCCCTCCACGCCGGGCCAGACGTCGAATGGCGGGTTTCGTTATTCCCTGAATGTTATCGCGGAGCACCTTGCGATGACGTTTCGCGCCTCCCTTTCCGAGACCTTTGCCGCCCTTGCCGCGTCCGGTCATTATTGCGTCTGTCGATTGAAATGTAGTCAAAAAAAAAAGTGTAAATGTATAGGGCGAGATGTCCTCCTCCCTGTACGAATGCGAAGCGATCACTAACCTTCCCGCCTTGCGACGGAACGTTTTTATCCTCTAAAAGTCGGCACGCCCCCTCGAACCTCGCGTTCGCCAATCGCGAAGCGTGGCGCGGTCATAAAACGCCGAGCGAAAATATTTCTCCCGTCAGTGCACCGTCGTCTCTCTTTTGTTGCGCTTCATTCGTCCAGTCGTCATTATTATTATCGATCATGGCCAGAACCAAGCAGACCGCTCGCAAATCCACCGGCGGCAAGGCGCCCCGTAAGCAGTTGGCGACCAAGGCCGCTCGCAAAAGCGCTCCCGCCACGGGCGGCGTCAAGAAGCCCCATAGGTACCGTCCCGGTACGGTGGCGCTTCGCGAGATTCGCCGTTATCAGAAGAGCACGGAGTTGCTCATTCGCAAGCTTCCCTTCCAGAGATTGGTGCGCGAGATCGCCCAGGACTTCAAGACCGATCTACGTTTCCAGAGTTCCGCGGTGATGGCGTTACAGGAAGCGAGCGAGGCGTATTTGGTGGGCCTTTTCGAAGACACCAACCTCTGCGCCATTCACGCGAAACGAGTCACGATCATGCCCAAGGACATCCAACTGGCGAGACGCATTCGCGGCGAGCGCGCCTAAGGAGGAGGAGGAGGAAAGGCCGGAGGAGATTTTAGAAGAAAAAAAAACGGTTCTTTTAAGAACCACCACCGACTTTGTAAGATAAGAAAGAAAAAATAGAACCCGCTCGTATACTTACCAGTCGCGTGTTACTTTTAAAAATTTCTTATTATTTCGTTCGGAGGGAAGGCCGGTCTTAAATATAATCCGCGCGTTTTGTTCGGGGGATGGCGGGCGGCCCGATTGTAATTATCATCGCTCGAGTTGCACCACCTTCGTGAAACGATCTACGTATAGAATAAATAGACAGATATTTCGAAAAGCGGTCGATGCGTTGATCTTGGACTTGTCCCGTGTAACATCTAACCTCACTCGTTCTACTCCGTTCGATTACTACCCCCTAACCTAATCTCACCTACACGAACCTATAAGACGGCCTCGATGTGTTCGTAGGTTTAGACCGGTTCTTTCTCTCTTGTAAATCTCTAAATTGTGGCCCTGAAAAGGGCCATTTATTTGTGTTCGAGAGGCGTCTCCTCGCCGCGAAATTATTTCTTCTTGGGCGAGCCGGTCGCCGGTTTTTTCGTCTGCTTCGCCTTCTTCGGTTTGGGGGCCTTCGGCTTTTTCGTGGGCACCTTCGTCGTCTTCTTGGCCTTCGAGGGAGACTTCGGCTTCGACGGAGAGGAGGCGGCCGCCGCCTGCGTCTCCGGAGCGGAAGACGCCGACGCGCCGGTCCTCTTCTTCGCGGCCGCCGCCTTTGCCACCTTCCTCTGGGGAGATGCGGTCGCCGGCGCCTTCTTTTTCTTCGGGGACGATTTCGGTTTCTTCACCGACGCCGCGGGCGAGGCCTTCTTCGCGGGGGAGACCGCGGCCTTCTGGCGTTTCGTCGCGGCCACCGCCGCCGCGACCCTCTTTTTCCTTCCCTTCGCCGCCGAACCGCCGGAAGACGGAGAGGCCGCGTCGGCCGCCAGCTTGAAGGATCCCGACGCGCCTTTGCCCTTCGTTTGGATTAGGGCGCCGGAGGCGACCGCCCCCTTGATGTACTTCTTAATGAACGGCGCCATCTTTTCGGCGTCGATCTTGTACGTCGTCACGAGGTACTTCTTGATCGCCTGAAGCGAGGATCCGCCGCGCTCCTTGAGACTCTTGATCGCCCCGTTGACCATGTCGGCCGTCGGAGGATGGGACGGCTTCGAGCGGGCGCCCCCCTTCGTTCCCTTCTTCTGCTGCTGCGAGGAGCTCGCGACCGCCTTCTTGGCGGCGGCGGGAGGAGAGGCTCCCCCGCCACCGGTAGACGCTTCCGACGCCTGATTCGCGACCGCCGTGTCTGCCATGATTACGCTCGTCGGGGAAGATGAGATCGTATATATATTATAATGTTATGACGTATGATAAAAAAAACGTCGCCGAGGATACCGCGCTGAGTTAGAACGTGCGTTTGTATGAGAGTCGCGTTCGAATCTCGGTAACCCCCTCGAAGCGCTCGGACCGCTTACGGAATCCCCGCGAACAGCGGCGCGCGAGCCGTCTTCTCCTTCAACGGTTCCCTTGCTCGAGATGCTTCCGTTTCGACGACCGCGACGCCGAACAGCCCGCCGTTTCGGCGTCCGCCCGTCGCGTCTCGCCCGCCGAAGGACCGGTCTCTCGACTACTCGATTCGCGACGCGCTGTCGGGCGGCCCGCGCCTCCGGCGCGCACCCTAACCGACGGAGGCGGCGAGTCGAAAAAGCGCCGACCTACCTTCGCCGAGTCGTCGAGACGCCGGCGAGAACCGGGCGTTCCGGAAGTACGCTTCCCTTCGACGCCCAGATCTATCTAGACGAAACGACGACGGTCCCGTCGGTCCCCCGTCGCAATAGCACCGCTCCGCGACGTTCGCACGGGACGATGGCGCGACGATGGGCCTCCCGTAACGACTTCGCATAAAGGTAGTCTTCCCGATATTCCACGTCGAAGAAACGAAAATGGTACGGTCTCGCTTTGCCGGACGGGCCGCGGCCTTCGTAAGCGGCCGAGGAAGAAAAATTGCGATCTCTCTTCCTACGATTAACCGACGTGTACCCGAAACGTTGCCGAAATGAAAGTCTCTCCCGATGCTTCGTTTTGCCTTCTCTTATTTACGACGATCGAGCGGGGGAACTTTTTGCCCGCCAAATCGGCCGCTAACGCAAACCTATCCGCGGCAATTTCGCCGTCGACCTTTGACGACAAAATAGGATAGCGATACTAAGGTTCGGCCGTCGTAACGGCGACATGCCGAACCGTCACCTTTGCGTACCACCTCGAGATTGATAAAGACCCTTATTGCGAATCGGAAAGTGCGGATGGCCAATTTTATTCCCGATTAGCGTCACTCGCAATCGGAGACGCGAACGTTTGGCGCCCGCCTGGCCGTAGGTTCACGTCATCGTGCGCAATTCTGCAAGCCTTTCTTTTTTGTCAGATAAGAAAATGGTGCCGTAAACGTCTCGCGAAAGCGATTGCTCAACTTTCCGGTCCGATTTCCTAATGGAGATGATTAAATTACGTAAATAACCCAATCCCAATTCGAAAAAGGACATTATCGGCGCCCAGCGTCGTTCGTTTCGCGGAACACGGAAAGGCGCGTAGCGTGAATCAAGCGTATTGAAAGAATCGCCATCGGAGAGAGCGAGAGGTAGGCGTAAGCGGAAGCGCGATGCCGATTCTGCACCTTTTGAATCACTATCTCCGGAAATGAACTTGATACTCTCTCTCTCTCTCTCACTCTCTCTAAGACGCAAACAAACGTAATGGAGCCAAACGGGAAAGTCGATCATGCATTTTCTTTACGTTCCGTTCGATCCGGCAACGCCGAACTTGCAAATTTTTCCTTGGCGCGGCGTGTGTATTATTTCGAATATTTTCCTCATACTATGTCATAAATCCCATATGAAGCGTACGATTATCCCTCAATTACAGCGGTAATTGCATCGTAGAAAGCGAAAGAGCCCTGCGATACTTGCACATTTCATATTAGTGGCAACTCCATATTGGACAAGTAGACAAGTGGGTAATGTTTATTTGCCGCCCAAATTACACTCGCGCGTCAAAATAAACCCGATAATTTTGCAATCAAGCGTATTGTCAGTAAAAAACTGCATTCGGTCAATTTTCATATTTTGTTAATTTCGCCAAAATAGAAAATAAACTCTTCCAGCTTTTAGACATGCTTTCAAAAAAAATTATCGGTAACTTTGACGCACTTGTGCAATTACCTACGAAAACGACGAAAGGACTGGCATAACTAGTGATGCGCGCATTCGAATGAAAACTATCGAACTATTCGATAGTCGCAAACCATTCGAATAATTCGATAGTGGACAAGTAATTCATTCGAATGAATTGTCTTGAATGAACGAATTATTTGCAATTGCACACACAGTTCATAAATACTAAATACCTTATGTTACGTTGAAAAATGTAAATATTATTTATTTCTTAATCCAGATGGTCACGGTTTGGGATTGGGAATTATAAATTTTATAATACCTACATAAAATATAAAGCGTCGTTTACTAATTACTTAGTAATTACTCATACCATACGCATTATAAATTTATAAGGCATAAGCAAAGTGAAAAAAGTCGATGATTTACATTTTTATTCGATAGTTGTTCACGAGGTTGTTCATTTATAATTTATATAAGATCCATGTATTTGTATAAGTAATACACATAAAGGAAAAAAATTATTCAAAAAATTCATTCGATAGTGAATTCATTCGATAGTACTTATTACTAAATAGTAATTTATTCGATGGTTTTTTTTTCTCGATAGTTCCCAACACTAGTTTAAACGCTACTGACTTGTAAAACTGACAGCAGACCTGTAAAAATTTTACAAGTTAGTAATCTAGTAATTTCATTGGCCAGAATTAATGCGAAGTCTCTGTTACATGGATCACATGATATTTTAGACATTTCTTCAAGATCAATTTAAGAACTAATTATTTACGTTTACAAATGAGTAACAAATAAAATATTGTACATTATACGCCAGGTAATAGTTTTTACTGGCTCTAGGAGACTTCTCCTATCGCCATTAAAAACTCACTTACCTGGCTAATAATGTAAAATACTATTTTGGATTTCGGTGGTATTAATTCTTTACCTAGTTTGGCTGCTTTTTATCAATATCAAATACACCTTTGTCACCTACCACCAAAATTATGACACTAGCAATGACAGTTTCCAAATTATTTTTGTTGCCAAAGCATAGGGTTTGTCGTACCAACGCAACGTTCCTATGTTAACTTGTTAGACAGCGATTTTTTGAAAGAACGCGTTCTCTAACTCCATACATATTAAGTGTTTCAGTTTCGGAAGTACGAAAAATATCGTATATACCTTGCGACTGAAGTAGTGGTCTTAATCCCTCAGGTAAATTATGGCCCTCCCTTCGGTCGGGCCATAA